ATTCGGGTGTTCGTTCCCTATCCAACCCTATGACCCCAGGACGTTTAATTCTGAATATCAGAGCCAAGTGAAGGTGAGGGGACCTGGGGTGTGCGGCCCCAAGGCAGCCACCCGCTTCCCACAGCAGCCACATCAAGTTACGTTTGCCCTATTGCATTATAAATACCAGAATTAGCCTTGCTTAATTATTTAAAACTATAGATTAAAAGCAGACAAAAGCTCTTTGCCTCCTTTCTGGAGCACGCGTATCATTTATCGGTGATACGGTCGCCTGGTGACAAGCAAGGGGTAGCATGCCAGGTCCATCCATATGAGATGCTCCCGAGCTGCTGGCACGGCAGGAACCAGAGGAGAGGAAAATCACAGTGAGGATGGGAGCTGGCACCATCTCACCTAAGGAGGGTAACAATTAACACCTGCCAATCTTTGGGCTCACCATATTATTATTATTAATACTAATTATTATTATTATCATCATCATCATCATTATTTACATTATTATTATCAGCCATCACCAGGGCAGTAAGCCACAGCAGTCATTAAGCTGCTGTAAAAAAATGACAGGTATTTTGCTATGGGCTCAGCTATGTTCACAGTGACACAGGGATTAGTTGGGGCATTAAGGCGCATTTTGCAGGCTCAGCTGCAGGGACTCACCCGCCAAAGGGTTTCCAGGCACTTCCCTGTCAGCTGGCATCTGCATCCCATCCACTGACACGGGCACCTCGCTGTGTCCTGAACCTGCCGACCATGCAGAAAGTGACTTCCAAAATGTAGTGCCTTGCTTTGAGGTCCAATTGCTCATCTTCCCAGCGGCAGAACCCCTGCAACGCAGCCGCGCACCCAAAAGCTGCTCTCACCACAAAAAGATCTGGGGCTCGTGGAGACCGACATGTAATTGTTTGCCTGCCCCGTGATGCTATTCCGTGTTTCTAATATACAATTAATTAATGTTAGCAAAATCACACGAATTAGCAAATGCCATCAATTCAAGAATCCAAAACAAAAACTGTCGGTTTCATTCTTTGTAGGACTTAACATACAGGAGGGATCCCCAGAGAAGGGGATGCCATCAGGGGCTGCAGCCCAGAAAAGGGAAGGTTCCCCCATGATGCAGTGAAATGTGTCAGAAACTCGCATTATTTCCCAGGCTCAGGCTACCTGTGTAAATAGCTTTAAACCAGCTCTGCTGACCCGTATGGAGTGTGTTGGCTTTGCAGTCTCCCCACCTGTGGTATGGGCATGAGCAGCTTCTTTCAGAAGCCCTTCATTAATCTGTTGGTTCTTTAAAAAAGACACATTCATTAATAAATCCCAGGCATCCAGAAAACCAGAGTTTCTCCTCTGTAGCCAGTTTTAAGTGATCATTTCTGCCCAGGAAACGGTCCCTTGGGTCTGTGGTTTTACAAACCCAGATCCAGGGCTCTGACCGTGGGCATCCTGAGTTTTTTGCCCAGTCTCATCCCTTCTACCAAATACCAGGGTTTCACAGATTTCCAAACAGCAATATCCTCTGAGCTTGGATCCCATTCCCAAAGTAATCCCTTCTGCCTGTTTTTATGTGGATGGCATTTCACAGAGGCCCATTCTCTGCCCCAAAAGGGATGCCCATACAGTATTTTTTAACAAGAGCAGTTTGGCCACCAACAAACCTCTCTTGAGATACTCTGGTCGGAACATCAGTTCCCAAATGGCACAGACAGCAGAAATAACAGATGTACTGCAGGGCACGCTGTGGAGCAGGGCTGCCCACAGTGCCGAAGGAAGAGAAACTGGGTTTGCAGTGGTGTGGAAAAGGGCCGAGGGATGTGCAAGGGAAGGGCGAGTGGGTCATAGAGGGGCAGGATGTGGAGAACAGCTTGGCAATGGGGAGCAGGCATTTCATATCAAAACCTGCAAAAAGCAGCCAAACGCTGGTGTCCCACTGCACCCTACATTTTCCTGTACTGTTGCAAGTCCAGAGGTGCCAGGTAGGAGCCCAGCCCTCCACCCCACAGCTTTCCAAACCCTACAGCTGTGGAGTCATTCTCTTCTCAGTCTCTTTTGTTTTTCCCCTTGTGAAGAATGGCTGGAGCCAAGCAGGCAGCACAAGCAGAGCTGCACCGCTTGCATTACCTGCCCTTTCCAGGGCCACTAATCCCCTTAACATTCCTGGGGATTATTTCCATCCCAGCAGGATGGTGAAGCAGGCTGCCAGCAGCAGCACAGGGAGCAGCATACAGTCCTGACACAGAGGGGCTCACAGGGCAACCCACCCCGGAGGGACAAATCACCTCATCCTAAATAAACGCTCTGTGAAGGGCATCTCCTCTGAGTGAGGGGAAACCAAAAAGCAGCAGCAGCAAAGGGGAGCGTAGCTCAGCTCTGGCCACAGCCGAGCCCCCGTGTCCAATGCCTCTCCCTGGGCATGAACCTGTCCTTCTCCTCCTCCCTTTTTTCCTTCTCCTCCTCCTCCTGTACAGGAGTAAGCTAAAACCTTTCTCCTTGCCCTGGGCTGCATGAAATCCACTCAGCACTCCAAGCAGCACACTGCATTTTACACTTCTAGTAGAGTCTATTTAATGTATTATTTGCAACATTCAGGTTTTCAAAGGCATTTAATGTCGCACCAAAACTGCCTGATATCCTGTTCTCCAAAAGAGTAGGGCTGAGCACAATCAGAAGTGGAAACTATTTTCCCCAGGATTGCAGACTGATGATTTTATTGCAAGTCTCCCAGGAACTGGGGGATTTATGAGCATTTCCAGGTGGTCTGAGCAGGAATTTGGGCTTTGCTTTAGGTCAGAACAGACCAAGATAATAAAATGTCATTTTACTCCTCCATCCAGGTCCCACTGGTTGGTCTCTGGGCCATCTCAAAGATGCTGAATAGTCCCTGTGGGGTGTCCTAGAAAACCAATCAAGACTGAGAGCTTGTTTCACAGCTACGGCTGGGAGAGGAGATAAGGCCATGTGTAAAGTCCCAGTATCTGCCAGTGGCCCTGGCCTCTTCATCATGGCAGTCTTACTTTTCACTTGCAGAGAAGCCTCTTGGAAATGTACCTTTCCTAGAAAGCCTCAGGCTTCTAGAAGGGAGGAAAGGGAAAATATTTAAAAGCAAGCAAAAGACTTGAGTATTTTGAAGCAAACACAGCTACTTTTTATAAGCAACACTCCAAAGAAGATCTGTTTAAAAGGTCACACTGCCTTTCTGAGTACAGCAGAGGACATTAAAATGCACATGTATTTTTTTTTGTTTATATCTTGCCAAGAACAATATAAAAATGTCCAACACCTTTTGCTGATTTATGGTGGTGGCAAAGGAGGTGCCAGAGCAGAGCCTTGTTCATTGATCTATGGCTGAATCATGCAAAACCAGACATCCTGCTGTAAATCCACTGCAGAGACCTGGCTTGATTTATACCCCCAGCACCATAAATAATGACAAAAAGCAGGCTGATAGCAGTCTGTCTCCCCTTACACAGACATGAATTACATCGGGTCTTGCAGATGATAGATCTACTCCATGAGAAACATTTTGCACTGGGTCTCTCTCTGCCAACCTGCAGGAGAAAGGATGCCTCGTCCTTACTTCCAGCATAACCCCAAGCTGTGTTTCAGGCGCACCAGTATTTTGATATTCTCATTTCTTGTTTTCTGCTCAATGCAAATGAAGCCATCCCTTGAATTGCTCCAGACTAAGGTCTTCTAAAGGTTTAAAGTGTTAATTTTTTAGTGAGATTCAAGGCTCCTAGCAGTCCTGGTCAGGGACAAGGTCAGGGCTTTGACGTTGTCCCCAGGGCAGCGGTACAGACGCTCACTCGAAGCCAAACCCTCGAGGTCTGCACACCCCATGGCACATCCAGCGCAGTGAAAACCAAGCTCAGAGCTACCTGCTGTGTCCTGGCCCTGGCAGGATCGTTCAGGCAAATTGCACTCATTGTGAGGACCTTTGCATGCTGATTGAACAGCCAGAAAGGCTTCCAGTCGGTTTCAGTTCCTCCCACTCCTTCCTTCCCAGTATTTTCTTGCTTTCTACTAGTTTCAAGGGAAAAGCTCCCCATCTGCCTTCAGTAAATAGGTTGATAAATTGCTGCTGCTTTGCAAGCCTCAGCCACGCAGTGTAAGATTGCTGCAGTCCGGATATAACCACATTCGCCAATTTAAACCCTAGCCAGGGCGCTCCCCCAAAATGCTGCATAAGCAAGGGGTCTCCCAAGGCGAGGGGCACTTCCCTGATCATCCTGGGTACCTGGAGGTAAGGAAGAAGGGACTCCCACTCCTGACCTGCAGAAGAAAATCCATACATCATGGAGGCAGGAGGGAAACTGTTTTATCAGTAACAGTGCTGCACCAGTGCCCAAGAGCTACTACAGCTTAGTGGCAGGGCCCGAGAGCTACTCAGCATAGAAAAAACCCACCAAAGTCACTTGAGTTACAGCCAGTTACAACGTACAGGTTGGTTCTTCAGGCTTGGTTGGCCGCGTAATCCTTCCACGCTCGCTGCTCGCTGCATTATCCCCTAGCACAGCACAACATGCGGATTTCAAACGGACAAATATCCAAGATCGAGACGCCGCAGCCCCTCATCCTGCCATGTGGTGGGATTTGGTACCCAGCACACAAGCAAGTGTGGGCATCTCTGTCACTGTGGGCAGATCTGGTCTAAATGATGGCACAGGAACAAGGGCACAAGGGCAACAGGACGACCCAGTGACACTGAGGTTAGTCTGTCAGTATAGCTGTCCAAAAACACCGTGTCCATTAAAAACACCTGGCATTTTAAATAAGTTACTCCATGGAGAGGATTTTTGTTTGAAGAACGAAGGCATTGCCTTGCCATTTGAAATGGGAGCTCATCCCTTTCATTCACACAAGAACAAACCTCTGCTGTTGTGCCTTTCTTCCCTGACTCTTCTCCTGTGAAAAGGGACCAAAAAATGAGAAGTAGAAGAAGAAAAAAAATGAAAGCAATTTTACACCAATGAAAACCTGACGTGTTTCCTCATTGTTCAAAACCTGGCTTTCATCTAACAAAAATTAGCCATGAAATTTTGCTGCCTTCACCCTTCGCTGTTCTTCAGTCCCTGCATCTCCCTGGAAGGCACCAATGAGGCCCCAGTTTCATCCTATGGAGTCAGCCTGGCACTCGTCATCAAACACCGAACCACACCACTTCCCTTCTGCCAGCAGTGATGTATGATCCTAGAGGAAAATAACTCGATACAAGAAATCACTGCTTCCAGCTTCCAAGCACCCTTTAAATATGTACCAAACTATTCACCCCAATTACAGTCATGTAATGGGCTCTGATTTGTTTTTCTTTGTTCCCAAAGCAGTAGGGCACTGGCCACATTAACATTCAATGAGAAGTTGTTTGATATTGAATCATTGCTTCAGCAGTATTATTCCACACCCAAGTCTGTTTGATTGCAATCCACTTTACATTTGATAAGTACTTACTATGAAAGAACGACCTCGCCTGCTTTCTCTTGCCTTTTTTATTGATTTCTCTTTTAAAAGGGCTTTATTCCTTTTATACATGAGATTGCAATAAGAGAGAGAGAGGCAACATTACTGCACAACTGTTTTCTTTGCTGAAAACCCATATAACTTCGCACTGGGTCCCCAGAAATGCTCTAATAACAAGACACTTACAGACATGGAGCTGCCTACACCCTTTTCCTGGGACTTTTTGTTCTTACTGGTAAACTTCCAAATTGTTCAAGTGAATAGTCAGGAATAAATTGCTCTTTCTGAGCCCCTGATTAGACCATACACTGGCATAATTGCAGGCAGCCCCACTGTGCTCCACATTTAAAGACACAGCTCACCACATGCGGTTTGTCTTATACCTTGTGCTTTGCACTCACTTTGTATAGGGTTTTTTGTAAAGGAGAACTGTAGAGCACTTGGAAAATATCAACAGTGAACAAGCCCTGTGGTTTGCCTGAAAACCAAGCTGCCAACACTTCCAAAACAGTGGGCTCTTGTTCCTACATCCAGAACATACAAATTATTACAGCACGATTGCATACTGCATGGGCAAATTATCCTTTCCTCGGCATTAGGCTCAGTCCTCACTATTAGGCCAGCAGGATAACAGCAAAATCCTTCCTTGACAAGAGGTTTCAGATACAGCAGCACTTCCTCAGGCCCATGTTTCACAAGCCCCTCCAATCCCACAGCATCCCCTTGTGCTAAGGGATCGATGGCCTTGGCCAGGATGACCAAAGCAGGAGCTCAGTCCTCATCCATGGCTGTTTCCAGTTTTATTTAGACCTATCTTGCATTAATTAATCCTTGGCACGAAATGCAGCCACTGAAGCAAGTGGCTGGCAAGTATTTTTAGTGATCTAATTAATATGTGTCTCATCAACAACGCAAAGGGAATATTTTTTAAAACCTCTACCAAAAAAACCCACACCAGCACATGGAGACACCAGCACACAGACACGGACACGGGTGTCGAGCAGCCGGGGCAGGTACCATTGCTTTTCCTTTGTCTTGCCCAGGGCAGGAGAGCTCCAGTGGGTGCCCACACCCCAACAGGGTGAGACTTCTCATGCAAACACCTCTTTTTTCTTCCAGCGTCGATGTACACTGAAATACAGCGGGAGCGACCGGACAGTGGGAATATCCTGACTCACCCGGACTACATAGATGGAAACCCAGACCTCATCAAACCTAAAAAGCTCCTAAATCCTGTCAAAGCCTCGAAGAGCCACCAAGAGCTGCACAGAGAGCTGCTGATGAACCACAAAAGGTAAGAGCAGGTCACAGCCTGACACCAAAGTGACCCTAGAGGTGCTGAGCCATTAGAGCTCAGCAGCCCAGGCACAAGTGCTGGCAACAGCCTTCGAGTGGGACAGGCAGGATAAATCCCTTCATTTGCAAACAAACACAGTGTAAACCTTGCAAAGTCAAATGGGTAAAGATAGGCTAGAATTCGCATTCCTGGCTTCCTACCCCATCACCCCAATTTAACTCTTTGGAGGTACAGATACAACAAACATCAGGATACAGACACCAGCGACTGAGAGCCTCTGACCACAGCATTCCTTTGCGGCAACTGTCTGAGCATCGGTGCAGTAAAAGCCTGTGCAGTAAAAGCCTGTGCAGTTCAGAGATCTTTAAGCACAGCAAGAAATCTGCTGGCTTTATATTGACATTTTCTGAACACCTTGAAATATTGTGACACGATAGCACTTTGGCTTTCTAATTAAAAGGAGCGCAGCCTCTGTCCAAAAGGACCCCAGCCATCACCAGAACCAGACGTGTATATTAATTCAGCAGACAATCAAGCCTGACGGCGGGGTGCGTTAATCAATACCGGCACCAGCTGGGTTTGATTTGATTTAATTTTCCCAGAATCAGAAGAATTACAGGGACCATGCCCAGGTCGTCCTGCAGCATCAAGGCAGAGGTAACTGTACCAGCCAGATATTTTTTAAACCGTCTGGCTTGAGAGTGACCACATCCCGCCCAGTGATACTGCTCAGTTTGAGGGCTCACGACCACCACTGGCTTTGATCTCTCAGAGCATTATCCCAGTCTAACCAAGAATCAAGAAATTCCTGCAGTGAAGGTAGCAGAGACGAACGGCAGCAGACAGAGTACAGACCGCACAGGACCAGACTGAGCTGAACTCCAAACTGGCAAATAAAAAGTACATAATCTCTTTGTACTCTGGTTCTGTGCCTGCCATCATGTTACATCCCTATCTGCCATCAGACGCTGGCAGGAGGCAGCTCCACTGCGGCTATCCTGCATCTCCTGACTCCTCTCCTTATCATCCTGTGCATCTCAGGCATCAGTTTAAACCTGCTTTGGCTCTGGCCTCCCAAATATTTTTCAGCAAATATGTGAAACAAACTCTGCTGCAAACAACAATCCATCAGTGCTGGTTCCTTATCACTTTCAAATCCACCAGTTTTGCTTCCTGCCACATATTACTACAGAGTGAGAGAGGGGAGAAAGAAGGATGTATGACTTGCTCCCGTTTCTGCCTTGCTGTTGTTTTTTTAACCTTTAAGCAACAGGAAGAAGCAACTCAGATCAGCAGCTTGTGCAACAAAACCTTATCTTAGTCAACACCTCTGGGTATGAACAACACAGGCTGATTAAATCAAAGAGCAGTAACAAATCCACAGGCAACATTGCAAGCTGTGTCTCCAGCAAGCCAAGGCAGGTCTGCCTTCTCTCAAGCCTTGGGAAAAGCATCTCTACAAAATCTGAGTTTTTCCTGCCTTGAAAAAAAACATCATGAAAGCTGTGGGGCCAACGCTACAGCTGCCTTCACTGATGTTGCCATGAATTTCATCCCATCGTGAAGCAAAAAGAGAATGACAAGAGGAAGCATCATTAAACACGGCACTGGAAGGATGCGAGAACTGGTCCCTGGCCTTGTTGTGACAATGCAGAGGTTTGCTGCATCCAGAGAGCGTTTTCCTCTCCTGCTGCCAGTTCAGTTTCTCCTGATGTGAGATACCAGCTCCATAGTCCACAGGGTTTGATGTCTCTGCTTGCAAACAACCTTAGCAGAAACCAACCAGCCTTTGGTCAACAGAAGCCTCCTGGTGCTGAGGAGGAGCTTTGCATGTAATAGCACATGTGAACTCGCCATGCCCTGGGCAAACCCTTAGCACAAACACGGGGAGGTCCCCGCCTTGCCTCAAAACAGACCTTCACCCACAGGAACACCAAACACCCCACATTTTACAATGGGACTTACAGTAAATACTCTCAGCCCACTGATTTAAACGAGTATTAAACCCAGTCCATGAAAGCGGTCAGGCTGCACTCCTTCCCAATGTGAGACACCAACGAGGTCTTTAACTCCTCCTCCTCAACCAGCTACTTCTGGTTCTGTATTTTCTTACAAGATGACTTGCATTCCAGTTGCTATTGCAGAAGACAGCCTGTGTAAACACGGTCTCAACCACTTCTTCATAATCTGTTCTTCAGCGACATCAAACTCTGCGCAGTTGCACTAAAGTCTCCCAAAATTCAGGAAATGCTTTATTTCCCCGCAGCTTCAGGGTCTGCCTCTCTGACTAGGGCTCAACAGGGCAGACAGTCACCACCTTTAGTGATTTAAGCCAGGAAGCTGATGGATTTCATGCAGGCAGATTTCTTTCGGCACAGAGGAGATGAGTTGGTCAAAGCACTGTCCTGGCAGGGCAGGAACCATTCCACAACCACACAGGAGCACATCTGGACTTGTTCACCCATAGCTCTAAACATTCATAACTATTCCTGTGCTTTTAGGGGAGCAGAAGCTGACGGAAGGCAGCCAGGGTCAGCTGTAAACCTTAGTGTCTAAATTCAGGCATGGCAACATTCAGTGTGTTAGACTTCTGAAATTTGTTTGGAGAACTTCCTTCATCTCTTTGGCACCTATTAATGCCTTTCATGCGCATCCTTGCCATGTCTCCTTCCCGTGATCCCACCCCTCACAGGACGGGTTTTGGAGCAGCCCCACTTCATTTGAGGTGCTTTGGGCGGCTGAAGGGGAGCTGGGCACCACCGGCAAAGGCTCTGGCTCCCAGCAGAAAAGGACATTTCATTTTGGCTGCTTGACACAAACTTTCCATGTCAACAGGAGGATCGCCAGTCCTCAGCTCCGAAGCAAAGCTGGGATGCAACGGGGAGGACAATTCCTGCAGATCAATGACTACCCCTGCTGGTGGAAATAAAATCGTCGTTATTTAAAATGCCCTCGATGCTGCGGAAGCCGTCACTGAGATAATTAAAACTAGCAACAGCAGGAGCCAATGAAAGTTCCCATTTCCACACCCGACCCAGAAACCCGTTATACCCATCAGCGGAATGGGATTAGCAAAGCCTCCAGTGCCACAAGCCCTGGACAGCAAACACCGTGCCCGCCCGAGGCAGGCACCGTCCCGCAGTCAGGTGCTCCCAGTAACCTCATGGATCCACTGGTTTGTGAACCACATCTCCCAGCTTTCCTTTTAGGACTGAGAAGAGTTTTGGGGTTGCTGGGTTGGCAGTGGTTACACTCCAGGGTGTAGGTGCTCCAGCCCTGATTTATCTGTGTTTTATCCACAGAGGCTTGGGCGTGGAGAGCAAGCCAGAGCTGCAGCGGGTGCTCGAGCACCGGCGGCGAAACCAACTCATCAAACAGAAGAAGGAGGAGGAAGAGGCAAAGAAACTGCAGTCTCCTTTCGAAAAAGAGCTTTTAAAGAGGCAGCAGAGGCTGGATCAGGTAGAGCTGAGTTTTCAGTCATGCCCAGGTTATCCTAACCACCTCGCATGAGGCACAGACCACAGGGGAGGTGGGTGGGCCGAGGTTCAACCCAAGGAATAGCGTTGCTACCCCTCCATAAAATGAGAGCCATAGTACATCCACAGGGGTGCTCAGGACCCTGGGGTGCAGGGAGAGAGGCTGCAGAAGTGCTGGAAGGTGCAAACCCTGCTGCAGTCGCACCCAAGCTGCATTTCAGAGGGGTTCCTGGCATATACCTTGGCCAAAAATATGCCTGGGGAGAGCAGTATTCAGCACGGGGATTTGTCAGGAGCACAGCCATGCCCCGGGTACTCTCTGCCCCTGCTCCTTACCCAGACCAGCGCGAGCAGCAGGTCAGCCTGTTGCCACTGAAAAGAAAGTCATTGCCTGTTCTCCTTGTCAGTCTTTGCACTACAAATGGATGAAAATAGTTTTTTTAATTAATCCCTTGCAATAATATCAACCAAGCAGAGATCCTTGGAAAATCAAAGCCCAGCACTTTCAGAGAAGAACCAGGAATGTGAAACAAGGTGGTTTAGGGACAGATCCATATAGACTTTGCATGTAAAATGGAGCAGTACAAGGACTTAACCCCCTTAGACGATAACCTCATGCTGAGAGCTTTTCCCAGGCTCAAGGGCCTCCTTTGCTTGGAAGGATCCAAACCTCCTCCTCCCTTCTCCATGCCAGGTCTGCAGTGAAGCACTCCCCTGCTTTGCTGCTGGAGATGTTCCTCCCTACAGGAAAAACAATA